GCTCCGGCACACCCCTGCTTGTTGTCCCCAAGGAACAAAGGGCACACAGACAACGTTTCTGATAAAAGAAAAAAAAAATAGACAACTCTCAGCAGCTCTACCTTAACCATTAAAAAAAACCCCCAAACCAGGGGCTTCCCTGGTGGCGCGGTGGTTGAGAGTCCGCCTGCCGATGCAGGGGACACGGGTTCGTGCCCCGATCCGGGAGGATCCCACATGCCGCGGTGCGGCTGGGCCCGTGAGCCGTGGCCGCTGGGCCTGCGCGTCCGGAGCCTGTGCTCCGCAACGGGAGAGGCTGCGACAATGAGAGGCCCCCGTACCGAAAAAAAAAAAAACCCAAAACGAACAAAAAAACCCAGTGGGAAGGACCCCGTGATGCCCTTTCTTTGTGCTCCCGCCCCCGCCCCCGCCCCCGCCCAGGCTGTGACACTGGCCCTGGGAAGGGCAGGATCTCTAACCAGAGAGCTATGCATCCCCACCCAACAGTAAATATGAACGTTTTAAAGAGCGATTTGTCCTCCTGAGGAAGTTACACTCAATTTGCCACATTTGTTTTTCTATTTGGAGGCTGGAGCCCTGGCTGTTGGACTGTTGTTGTAGCTGGAACCCATCAGCTTGCAGCTCCGCTTAAGAAAACCCCACCTCTTCCCCAGCCCTGCTCCAAATCCCAGAATCATTGTTTCTCTTTCTGCTGCTCTAGCTCAGGGTGACTAACTCAGCTCAGGACTTTGCAGTCTTTCCACCAGACTCCCAGGAGAGTCGAGCAGTCCCAGAGTTTAAGCCTCAAAGTAGCCTTGGGAACTAGAGCCTGGCCCTGCTCTCTTTTAAAATAAAAATAAATGTGAATAAAGTAAGGAGAAGCTGGCCGGTGGCCTGCAGACCTAGGAAACTGCTAGGGCTGAGTTTAACATGAGACACTTCGGATAATTATACCAATAGTTCAAGCCTCCCCTCCACCCCCAGCTGGAAGGCTGCCTGCCCAGAGCTTGCTGTCTTGGGGGGACGTCCCAGCCATCTTTTCTCCCCTCCTTTTGGAGAACAAAGATCTCCTACACTTCTAGTAAATTTTAAGCATACAGTACAGTGTGATTAACTAGAGTCGCCATGCTGTATATGAGATCCCCAGGGGTTATTCATCCTGCACAACTGAAACTTTGCACCCTTTGACCAATGTATCCCCCCCTCCCGCCTCCCTCCAGCCCCTGGCAACCACTGTTTTCCTCTCTGCTGCTATTAAATTTGACTTTTTCAGAATCCACATAGAAGTGAGATCACTCAGTGTCTGTCTTGCTGTGTCTGGCTTACTTCACTCGGCTTAATGTCCTCCAGGTGCACTGCTATTGTTGCAAAAGGCAGGATTTCCTTCTTTTTTAAAGCTGAATAATCTTCTGTTGTGTGTATATACCACACTTTCTTTATCCATTCATCCATCGACAGACATTTCGGTTCCTTCTGCTACCAGCCAGAGAAAACTCTCTGCTTTCAAGAGTCATGTAACTACATTAGGCCCTGCTGGTTCCTCTCCTCACCCCCGGTCAACTGTGCCACAACATAGAATAACCCTGGGAGTGACAGGTCATCATGTTCACAGGTTCTAGCAATGAGGGCGTGGAACCTTGAAGGCCAATTCTAGAATTCTGCCAAGCACAACATCTCTATTTTCTCAGAGGTATGTGATGTGGTTTCTCCACATTTATTCATTATTTGGCTACCTTAATAGGAAGAAAACACCTTGAATGGGGGTGGTAATTATCCTCTTCTGCTCTGCACTGGACAATCCATGTTGGGCTCTTGCATTTCATTCTGGGTGTCCCAAATAAGAGGGAAGTGGGACTTCCCTGGTGGTCCAGGGGTTAAGAATCCGCCTTCCAGTGCAGGGGACGCAGGTTCGATCCCTGGTCGGGGAACTAAGATCCCACGTGCCGCGGGGCAACGAAGCCCACACGCCGCGGCTACTGAGCCCGTGTGCTCGAGAGCCCACGTGTCACAACTAGAGAGAGGCCCGCGTGCTGCCACGAAAGATCCCGAGTGCCGAAAGGAAGACCCGATGCAGCCAAATAAATAAATATTTTTAAAAATAAAAAGAAAGAAAGGAGGGAAACAGACCCACATAACCAAAGTCACAAATGGATTCACACCGTGGCCTGGGAAGGTGGTGAAGGGAATGCAGAAACTCATCTTGAAGATGGGAACTGAGGTCACGTGACATCCATCTTCAAATATTTACAAGGCTACAATGTAAGGAAGGGATTTGTTCTGCATAAATCCAGGGGGTAGAGCCAGGACTCCTTGATGGAAGCTCCAGAAAGACTTTGGCCCGGTATTGGAAAATGCTTTCTAATAGAGCTGGCCTGATTGATTGGGCTACTCTGGATGTGGTACGTCTGCTCCACTGGAGCTGATCAGGTACAAAATAGGCAACTCCTGGATAGGAATGTGGTAAGTGGAATAAGACGTTGGGCTCAAGGGTCTTTCAGATCCCTTACAAGCCCGAGCTCATTATCCGACAGACTTGGCTTCTTTGGTCCAAGCCTTCCTTTTGAGTCTCCTCTGCCTGGTTTGTGTGTCCTTGTCCTCAACCATAATGTTGTGTCACAGTCTGGAACTCACCTTCACCAGATCTTTCTTTCCGGTTGGCTGTTTTCAGAATTATGGGTTGAATGATAGAAAATACGAAGCAACAGATTGAAAGAGAGGAAGAAAGGGTCGTCCCAGGAGGACTCATCAGATCGAGCCAATGGAGCTGTTTCTCTGGGAAGGATCGTGGCAGTAAGAGTCTGGAAGAAAGAGCAACAGGGTGGGGCCCTAACCCAATAGGACCCGCGTCCTTATAAGAAAAGGAGGAGACACTGGAGATGTGTCCTCAAGAGAGGAGACCGAGGCAGGAGACAACCAGAAAGAAGGTGGCCGTCTGCAAGCTACGGAGAGAAGCTGCAGGAAAAACCAAACCTGGCGACACCTTGATCTTGACTTGAGCCTCCAGACCTGTGAGAGAATAAATTCCTGTTGTTTGAACCACCAGCCTGTGGAATTTTGTTTGTGTAGCCTGAGCTGACAGAGACAGTAGGTCAGGGATCTTCATCCATATACAATGTGGACGTGGTGCCTGAGACATACAAAAGCTTTGACGATGCTCTGAGGCCTGAACAAAGAAAATGGATTGGCTCAGAAATGGAAAAACAAAAAACAAAAAAAACCCTCCAAAACAAAATGAATCAATATATAATTAAATGTCCACAGAACAACGAGCCAGTGTTGACTTGGCTATATTACTAGATACTATATTCTTTGTTGTTGTTGTTTATTTTGATACTTTATTCTTAACAGATTCAGAATGATAAAAGAAAACTTTCAAAAGGGATAGCAAAAAATATTGAATGAGTGGTGGATTTTAATATGTTTGACATGATGTAAGGCAAAGGTCTCCAAAAGTAGGGGCACCCAGAGGCCACCAGGCCCCTGGAGCAGATACCAAGAAGGCTAGGACCAAGAGCTGCCAGACATCCATCCTTCCACATCAGTTTATAAACCTGAGCCTCTTCCTCAAGACAAATGACTCTTCACCCAGGACAGCGTTATTATTTGACTGTATTCACACAGGGCGAGGTGAGTGCAGAGCAAAACAAAACAAAACAAAACTCCATTCCCTCCTGAGGGTCTGGACTCTTGGAGGTAAAGTCCGAGGTGACCAAGTGAAATTTTCTTGGAAAACTACTGTTTTGTTATTAAAAATGATTGTTTCATTTCCCTCCCCATAACGTGTCTATATTTATTTTAATATAAAAGTAATTTTAAAAACTATTTACCAGTGAGAACATTGGACACGCCAAGAATATCGGCCGTGTTTGTTTCGTTATGTACCCCATCACAGACCTCAGAGGTAAGGTATCACGGTTTGATAAATACGGATGTATAGGGACTCGCAAACCCTGCCCCATAATCCCACCTAGCCCGTCCCGGTCAGCTTCACCTCATCACATGACATGTGCCGACTTGCCTTGCTTTCCGGTCAGACGACCTCCATCTTTTCACTCAGCCAACATCTATTTTATCCATCCTTCCTCTCTAACCCTAGCTATACCTGTCCCTCGCCTGCCTCTCGTAATGTCCATGTTGTCCCCAATCCAGGAGCACACCCCACATCTCCCCTTCAATCCACACACCACCCGTGTGGATCCAGCTGAAACCCACTTTCTCCCATCGGAGTCTTCCTCTGACTACGTCACCACAATCGCCTTTCCCTTCCCCAAAATGTTAAGGCGTTTTTGTCTGAACACACGTCCAGCAGTTGATTACAACTGCCTTATATTTTGCTCTGATGATTTCATAGACGTACCGCTTGTCTCCCGGACTGGGCTCTGAGCCTCTGCGTGGCAGTGGCATTGTTTTTCAGCTTTTTCTTTTTATGCTGGCAGGAAAGTTTCCTAAGCAGGACCAGCAGTACATGGCTAATTAATTCTTTTCTCATAGGACGTATTGATTAATCTCACTTAGCTTCCAGCTCTCCTTAACAATCCTGACCCTCATTCCTTTCATTCCCATCAATTACCTTCTCTCTCCTACCTCCTGACTCCTAAGGTCAGGAAATATCGTTAAGTATAAAATACAGACTTTTTCATGGGAAAGTGCCGGAAGCGGCCCAGGATCACGCCCTGAGATCCCAGATTATACGAGGCCCCTAATTTGACTCTTAACCTTCTGTGCTTTTCCTTCACAGTATTCGTCGTGGTCTGTGGTTAGGTATTTGTGGATGTGTGTGTGGCACTGTGTAACTGTTTGCCTGTTTCGCTCACTGGATTGTAAACTCTCTGAGGGCAGGGAAGCCCTGTGGCTGCTTTGTCCCCCATGGTACCCTAAGCACAGCCTCAAGCCTCATACGTATCAGGTGCTTCATACTCTTGCCAAATGAATGAAAGAATGGAGAGTCCAGACAAGGTGCTTCGGCAGGTCTTTGCTCTCTTGTTCCCGCAGCTGAAGAAAAACTCTTCCGGCTCTTTCAGGCGACACAAGATATACAAAGAGCAGCTGAATCTCACTTCCCTGGATCCCCCGCTGCAGCTCCGCCTGGAGACCAGTTGGATCCAGTTCCACCTGGGGATCAGCCGCCACGGCCTGTACTCCCGGTCCAGTCCTGTCGTCAGCAAACTTCTCCACGACATGAGGCACCTTCCCACCATCAGCGCTGGTGAGGGTCACAGGGCCAGGTGGGATGGACTGACTCTCTCCCAGAGAGGCTGGGTAACCCAACCAGGCCAGGCTCCAGGGTGAAGCAGGAAAGGGTTGGTTCCGACACCCAAGAGAGAAAGAAGCAGAAAAACACAGGCAGTGACTTTTTTCCCTTTGAAAGAGATCTTACAACCGTGATCTCATCACAACCCCATAAGGGACGCACAGGAGGTGTTCCGTAGCTTACAGAAAGGTGATGGCCACTGATCCACTGCTCCTTTTGAATCTGGCGACTCTCTCTTATACAGTGATCTCATGGTGTAGACATTATCACTGCCGCTTTACAGATGGGAAAACTGAGGCTCGGAGAGTTTAAAAGTGACCTGGCCGAGGACCCAGTGGTGGCCTGCTGCCTGAGGCCTCGAGCACTACGCCAGCCTAAGGGACACACTGACGGATTTGCAGACACCAGCCAGCACCCGTTTCCCCACCAGCTGTTGCTGGAGCGTCCACGGAAGGGCTAGAGCGCATGGGGCCTGGATGGAGCAGGCTGGGAGGCTGCGGCCCCAAATGGGGCTCGGGGAGGTCCCCTATTGAATGCACAAGGGCCCCAGGCTGCCTTCCAGGCTCCCCCTCTGGTGTCTGAACCAGAGTCGAGGGTTCTCAGCGCCCTGCTCCTCCTTCGCAGACTACAGTCAGGACGAGAAAGCCTTGCTTGGAGCCTGCGACTGCACCCAGAGTAAGTGGCCTGGCCCCGCCCCCGGCCCGCCCCGGCCCGGCCCGCCCCGGCCCGCCCC